GTATACCTAAAATGTACCAATGATTAGAATGAATAATCGATAATGCAAAATAGGAAGAAAAGGTCCAAAGGGGTAGGGATAGTGGGAGGGTCAGGGGAAAGCAAAGAAGGGAGAGGAAAAATGATGAGAAATGGAAATAAGTCTTTGTAAATAGGGAAGGGTGGAGGGGATGAATGGAGGGCTAGGAATGGGGAAAAAATAAGAACCAAAATCCATTGTGTAAAGGTACAAGTTCCCAGTGAGAAATGTAAATGTGTTGTATACCTACAATGTACCAATAAAAGAATTTAATACAAAAATATTCTCACCTTAGTCCAAGTTTCATTATAAAGTAGTTACTGTCTCATTCATCATAAATAGGCCAACAAAACTGAGAACTGGCAAGGCTCTTGAGCAACCTGAGTTCCCATACACTCTGGTGGAAATGGAAATGGGTACAGGCTCTTGCCAAAACCACCTGAAAGCATCCAGCAATGTTAAACATGCTTCATGACCCAGCATTTGTAATTTGGGGTAAATGAATGTTAATAAGTCGCATATTTATAAAGGCGTTCATAGTAGTTTTATGCACAATAGCCAAGCGGTGGAGACAAATGACAACAGGAAAATGTTCATTCTCATTTATGTGCAATTAACATACCACATATTATTCAAAATCCTTTTGACTTTTTGAATATTTTGAACTAATATGGTACTTACCTTTAGGGGATTTGCTGACTACTAGGGGGAAGCAGGAATGCTTATGGGATGTTGAAGGTGTTGGAGACCAGAATCTAACCCATGGTTGCACAGATATATATATACATATATATATGCAAACCATACATTGTATATATATGAACTGTGGTTGAAATATATGGTGAATGTTTTCATTTTTAAAAATTTATTACAGTAAAAGACATATTGCTATTAATTCCCCTCAAAACACTCCCCCTCACTATAACACACTTATGCTATCATTGTTGCCACTTTCTAGAAGGCTTCTTTGTGTCTTTACAAGCTGTGATCAAAAATTCAGTGAATGCTGCTGCTGAGTGCCTTACAACAGAGAGACAGCCTCATAAAAATCTTATGGTGTATCGTCATCTGCCTTATTCACTGGATCTGACACTGTGTGACTTTTTGAGTCTTTCCTAAAGTCAAAATAACCAGGAAAGGTAAACATTTTGAATCAGTTCAGGACATCAAGGCAGCCACAACAGTGCAACAGAAGATAATCATGAAAGAGGACTTCCAGAACTGCAGCAGAGAGTAGCAAGAATAATGAGGCATACGTAAATCATTAAAGTGGCAGCGGGAGTATTTTGAAAGAGATTAATGTCACTGTGTCTTTTACTGTATTATTTTTAATTTAAACATTCACCATGTTTGTCATTGATGCCTCATATATATGTAAAAATTCATTGAATTGTGCCTTTCAGATTTTCAAGAATAGTACTCATTTCAGTACAGAATGTTCTGGAGCCCCTACCACTCAGAGATCTTGTTTTTATAAAATTGACCACCTTTCTTACTGATGCTGGAGCAGTTAAACAATGAAAGTATGCACAGTTATAACTTGCTTTTCCTATAGGCCTGTGGTACCAAACCTGACGCATGGCTGAGGCTATGTGACACAAAGTCAATCAAAAAATCAATTATTAATTAAATTTAACATATCTCACACTGATCCAAATAAAACTTAAGTAGAAATGAGTCCATTTCATCTCTTCTCATTGAGTAATCTTGTCCCCTCCTTTTGCCCTCTTTTTTCACCACTGTCAACTTTGGAGACTTGTGTTAGGCAATCATTTCTGGCTGTGATTGTCACTGGGATATTTGCTGCATACATTTTCTAGAGGGAAAATGGATAGAGAGGATTTAGAGCAGATGTTGGCAAAATTTTTCTATTAAGAGCCAAATAAACAGTTTAGGCTTCAAGGATCATATAATCTCTGTCATAACTACTCAACACTGCCATGGTAGCATGCAGCCATAGACAATACATTTAAAAAGTGGTTGTATTTCAATAAAACTCTATTATGGACACTGAAGATGAATTCCATATCATTTTCACATCATAAAATGTTATGCTTCATTTTTATTGAACCATTTAAAAATATAAAAATAAATCCAGGCATGGTGGTACATGCCTGCAAATTCAGCACTCTGGGAGGCTAAGACAGGAAGATGGCATGTTCAAGCCCAGTCTGGGCAACTTAGCAATTTAGCAGAACCCTATCTCAAAATAAATAATAAGTTTAAGAGGAAAGGTGGTGATGTAGCTCAGTGCAAAGGCACTGGATTCCATCTTCACTATAATTAATCAATCAAATATAAAAATCATTCTTAGCTTCTGCACCATACAAAAATTGGTTCTTCAGACTTAGTTTGCAGAGCTCTAATTTATAGCCACATAATTCTAAGGGACAGTCAATCTCTACAGGAGCTCAGCCTTATGTTCCATAGGAAAACAACATACCATTTCCAGTAGATTCTCAAATTACAGCATGCAGTTAGAGGGTGTCTCGATTTACTGTTCCTTTAAAAAAAAAACAGTAAATATCAAGTTTTGTACCAAAGGCTTGTACCTTCTTTGACATGCTTTTAACTCATAGAGCTTCTATAAGCAAAGATAAGTTTGAGAAAAAAATTACCCTGAGAGATTTGAAGCTTGGTTGTGAGTATCTACAGTGTCAATAAGAATCATAACTTTTTTTTCATAATGTTAGTTGTAATGTAATAAACATTTTTTAGAAAGACTTTACTTTGGAAGCTTGAAAACAATGAAATAACTAAAACGGTACAAAATACATTTGTTTGAAGCTCACTAGCCAAGTGTTGTGCCTTCTTCCATGGTCCTAATCCATGAGGGGGCATATGTTAGAAGGCACATGCTAGAAGGCAGAAGGACAAGTAACTGCTTCTAACTACAGCACTTTCAAGACAGACTTACAGGTGGATCCCTTTAACTCCCTGCGCTATGTGTCAAGAGATGGGAATGGCAGATTTTTAATCTTATTACTGAGCTGTCCCTGTCATTCTCACATTATCCAAAAGCATTTTTCTAAATTTTTACTTAAATTCAAACTGAACAGAGTAAAAAAACATCTACAAGGGTAAATTTGAGAAATGACTTCACACTGATTAGTTATTCCCAGCCATCCAGCCCCCACTCTGCAAAAAAAGGGGGGATCCTTAAGCCACAGTGGAAGGAAAACAGAATGGGGAGCAATAATTTCCTGTGGAGGTGAAATCTGTGCTGTACAAGACCAGAACTACAGCACTGCATATAACTCACCATCTATCATTTCCCAAGAATGTCTCCTGGGCTTCTGTGGATCTTCCTAGAAGCAGTACTTTGCAACTAGCGTTGTCTTCTTTCTTCATTTAGGGTAAGGACAGGGTACAGTTGGGAGACCAGAAACAAGATAAGTATAGGGTAAACAAAATGAACTATGAGAAAACCCAAAGTAGGCTGGAATCTCAGCTCCACTGCTCATTATAGACAGAAATAGATACTTACTGAGCACCTGCTCTGTGTTGGAAACCTCAATAAACTATTCAGTTGTTTAAGTGAACAAGGAGACCAAGAAACATATTACACACAAAATAACAAGTTAGCTGATACATAGCAATAAAGAAAGCTCCTCATGAAGGGAGGGCTAGGAATGGGGAAAAAATAAGAACCAAGATGCATTATGTAAAGGTACAATTCCCAATGAGAAATGTAATTGTGTTGTATACCTACAATGTACCAATAAAAGAATTTAAGAAAAAAAAAAAAAAAGAAAGAAAGCTCCTGGAGTAACTGCTTCAAAACAATTAAAAAGGCCGAAGGCCAGGGATTTAGCTTAGTGGCACCATGCCTGCCTTGCAAGTGCAGGATCCTGTGTTCGATCTCCAGTACCCCCTCAAAAAAGGAGACAATGATTTTTTAATGGAGTTTTGCTTCATATATGATTCATGGGACTTTGTTGAACTTTGGATTTAGTGACAAATGTAGCCTTTGCATGTTTCCTCTGTGTTTGGCATATACTGTGATCTGTTCTCAACCTAAAATAGTTTGCAGCACATCAGTTGTGAACCTCTGGAAATTGGGGTGTCAGTTCTGTTTCCCAAAAGATGAAGATGCCAGAGTTACCTCTGAGTCATGTGCTATGATCACCTGGGGAGGAGAGAGAACAACTCTCTCTGTGGTTTTACTCAGTGAGTTTTGGAACAATTACTGAAGTGAGGTCAAATATTAGACAGCACAAGCAATAGTCAGAAAAGACTTGTCTGTAACTTGGCCTCCCCATTGTTTTCTGTCTTTCTCTGTGATTCAGGAGGAAGGATGCTGGCTTCTTATCCTACAAAGATCACCTGCCAGTGAGCCAGGTGGTGGTTGGAGATACTGACCGGCAAGGCTCAGAAGCCAAACTGAGCGTGGGGCCCCTGCGCTGCCAAGGAGACAGTAAGTTTGCCCATTTGCTGTGGCTTACAGTTTATCACATTTAAATAGCATTTCTGTGCTTCTTAGAGGATGCCAGAAAACAGCCTTGCTCTTCTGTAACGCCTACAGAAACATGAGGTAACTAACACAAGCAAGTAGAGTCTAATGGACTCTAAATAGACCTTTATTCATAAAAGTGGTGACAGGCATAAACTCTCCAGTATAGGAACCTAAGTCAGGCATAAAATGTGGATATCCATCTTCCTTGTATATTCATACAGAATAAGTTTGAATACCTAAATTTATGGTAATATAAATAGTGATGCTAATAACATAAAAGCAGCACTCAACAGCTGGGATTCCACTGAGGGGTGCTGTTAATGCCATTAGCATGACTATTTATATCACCATAAACTAGTTTATGGTGATATAAATAGTAGCATTATGGCTTAATGTATCATTGTAAACTTGGATTATGGCCATATAAAGTTTGACATTATTGCTATCAAACTTCATCACCATCAAAGCTTGATGGTCCTTTGAAATCCAAAGATTGTGTTTGTTACTACATCTTGCTTTCAGGATCAGACACCACAGAAAAGTATTTGGGGCTGCGAGCTCGAACAGTGGGAGGTGAGGGAGTTAGAGTGCTGGTCCCATCTAATTAAGGGCACCATTAGGATTTTATGTTGTTTGATACCCTTTGGTGTGCTTTATGTACAGTGGGAAAGAAATACTGACAGGTTGCTATAGGGATTCTGAAAAGAGCATCCTGGGTATCATTTTCTCTCTCTTCTGTGCACACATGATTTGGGCAGCTCTCTGGGGAGTTCTATGCTTTTGCAACTGTGTACTCAGCATTGGGAGACCTAGATTCTCCTCCTTGAATAACTGCCTTACTCAGAGACCTCAGGCAAGCGTCTCTGTTTTCTCAGCTGTGGTAGTGAGAATACCACCTGCGTCCCAATACCTCCTGGGGAGGCCATAAAGGTTTTAGTGCTTGGGTTTGGATTCCTCCCAGCAAAGCATTATGTGAGACAGAATATTTTTACTACTTCTGTAAATCAACAGAGAATTAGACATACTTAATAGTGAATAATCACATCCCCTCGCAGAGGTGTCCTAAGGAATGTAATGATGCATGCTCAACAGTTTACTATTTAGTAAACTGAGGCTGTCAGCAATTAAGCAATGGGATGATATTAAGACAAAAGAGAGAGAACTTCTACTGAGTTTTCTCTCCTTAACCTTGAGAAAAGGAAAATATGGCCCATAAAATTGAAACTGGTCAAGAGATCTTTATCATACATTCCTTGAATAAAAATACTTCATTTGTCTGGTCGGGCTTAATAGAATTGTGCTGTAAGAAATTTAGTATCAATTGCTTAGGAAAAAGACATTGACATAAAAATAATCAATATGTGTTTTTAAACAAATGCTAAGAGATGAACTACAGTGTTCTCTAAAATTAGACAGGCTCTTATGTTATAGAATGAAAATCAATTTTGTTATGTCATAATTACTTATTAATATAGAAAGATAAAATATTTCTGGCTTGTCAATTCTAATTCTGTAGTTAGCTTCAAATTAGACAAAGAGTTCTCACTGAATATTTAACTTAATATACTTGCAAAAAGCTCACTTCTGCAACTTCTGTTACCATTCTTAATGAGAAGATTCCAGCAACATTAAATAGTATATGCTGGAGTATATCACTCCTAGTAAAATTAGGTTGTTTTTCTTAATCGATAAATCAGTCCTCAGAAAGAATTTACTGTAAGTCTGTTATTTGTCTAGCACTTCTCTAGGTACTCTGGGGAATAAGAAAAAGAACTTCAAACCATGTTTGAGAAATGCACATGAAAAAATATTGGAAAACTCGAAGTGGTTTACAATTCAGTGTTAGATTTCCTGATTTAAAAAAATTACAGCAACTGATACTCAAGAAAGGAATGATAATAAAGTGTATTTCAGGTAGATTTTAATTTAAAAAGAGAAAACAGGAGAAGCCTATCATTGATATTCATTTACATTCAAATGCTAGGCTGTTGTTTTTAGAAATATTATTGGGATCCAGTAATAAAGCAAACTGTTCCCTCTTTCATGAACATAGCATAGTCTCAATATACAAGGACACTCTTTTAAATTGTATTTTACCTGCCACTTTCCTAAAAACACAAACATAGTCAATATTTCACTGCAATTATGTGGAATATTTTTGCATAAGAAGAAACTTTTGCATAGTTCCTTCTTCCCGGGCAACTGAGACCATGCATTGTACCTGACCTTGACCTTCCAGGCAGCAGTGTGCAGATCTATGTTTCCCTTAAGAAGGTTCCCACCCTGACGCAGTAACTGTGCTTCATATCAACAGTATTTTCCAGTTTTCACACATGTCTGATTTCCTTGGTTACCCACAGCCTCAAGCGATGTGGGTAAGGAAAATATTAGCATTCCTGTTACACAGATGAACAAAATGCTTCTTTGAAAATGGCATTTACATAACAAATTTCTGAGCACCCTTATAGGCTCCCAGAGGGAAGATGGAGCATAGAATACAAATACAAGATCAGCGTTGCTTCCCTAACTCCATCCCCTTCCCTCTATCAACAGCTGATTAAATTAAAAAGTTTTAGGAATATTCTACTTGGGTCTCATCCCACCCCAAATCCCACCTGTCATGTGAGTTACACAGCATGCATGCTGAGGGATTAGATTTGTGTGATTCTAGAAGTGGTAGAGTGCATTCACTCTGTTGTTTATAGAGATTAGCTGGCTCTGTATCCTTTACTGAAGTCTGTTCAGAGCTACAGTAGTGAAAAACCAATTCCACTGCAAATATGTCTCCTCCTCTGTTTGAGGAGCCGAGTGATGACAGGTCTCAGAAGCTGTCTCGGGAATGAGGCCCCAGCTCTATCCCCTGGTTGCAGAGAATGAAACCATTCTTGTGGGCTCTGCCCAACCATTGCAGTGGTTTCGGTTGATTTCATCATGCCTGCTGAGTTTCATTTTTACTTTGATTCATCTGAACTCATAGACCCATATAATCAAAATGCTAAAGAAAATCAGTGAGTTCCACTCAAGGCTGCTGAATTTCCCATATAGTGCTGCGAAATGCTTATGCCCTTATGATTTTTTTCCCAAACACATCCAAATGGAAACCTCAAATATAAATGAAACTGAAGTATGACTGCTGATGGATGGTCTGCTAAGATAAAAAGTGCTGGGAAATTGCAAGCCCCGCCTCTTCAACCACATGTACCCACATAGGAAGAAACAAAAGAGCTATTTAGAGGAGCCCAAACCAGTACTAGAGTAGACACTGTTTTCAAATTTAAGCAGGTGATCATTTTTTGAGAGGGTTGCTAAATTTTCATAAACAAAAGATTTCAGGTTTTGAAGGTAGAAATCTCATTCCTGTTATAGGTAGTGACTATAATTAATTGTAGGAATATAGTATTTGTTAAGTAATTGTTTTCTTCTCAGTCATCTGAAGTAAAGATTTACTATATCCCCTCTAGAGATATAGATACTTCAGACAATTCCTACGAGCAAGTCTGCTGCAAAAGGAAGTTTTCAGTAGACCTAGGTAGAAGCGATTTAGGAAAATGTGTTACTCAAAGACTTTCAGTGTCCATGCCAGAAACCAGCTTTGGCTATAAGAGCTGACAGGCAGAACACTTGAGTCACAGTGGAAGTTTAAGATATAAATTCAATCTCTTAGAGCTACAGAGGTGACTCGGAGGCAAAGAAGAAAAGGCGAGGCAGGTGGCGTGTCCAAGCTCAGGAGCGCAGGGGGGCAGAGACACAGACAAACAGGAAGGAAAGAAAGATGCTAACGGAGTTGTATCCAAACCATAGTGGACATTTGTTCTTTGGGAAAGAAATCACATGTGCCAGAGTAATAGAAAGGCACTGCTCTCTCTACTGCAGGATTTTACACAGCAGGAG